TTACACCAGGTGCCGCAACTGTCAGATAAAAACAAGACACTGGGTCTACAATTCACAAAGGATACCAAAAATTGGACAATATAAGAATAACCAAAAGAACAACAAACTAACCAGTCTCGTTTTCTGTCGCAAGTTTCGAATGGTAGGGCCATGTTTCATCCTGCTTTGTATCAGTGGTTCAGGCTGGTGCTAGTGGTGCCATGGTATAGTAATGTTCTCTTAGATTGAAGAAGGGGGTCACTTGGTACTAATCTTCTAATATCGTTTAAATGCCACAGAATACATAAGTAATGTGCATCAACGTACGACTACACAGCAGCTACCGCTTATATGTGGAATTATTATTTTTATGTGAGCAGCTCCGTGAATCAGTTTGCGTACACTGCCCACTATGACAGTTTAATACTTAATTAATATGGATCTCCACACATGAACATGCAAGTAGTACCAGAAATTGTCTTGTTCTTTTTGGGACACTTCTGACATCCGAGACTCTAAACATCAATCTTTAATGCAATGCGAAAGGGTATATAGTCAGTTGGGACGTCCCCACTGACATTAGAGATTGACTCTAACCCTCCCTATTTAATGTAAGACAGAAGGTACTGTGTGTTGGGGCGAGCCCCTGGAAATGAAATTTTGTTTAATTTCCGCCTAGGGTACAAAAGCCCGAGAAGACAATCAAGAAGGAATGTGAAATGTGCTTCGAGGTGTACAGGAGAAAAATTTAGAAATGCATTGGACACACGGAATGGGGGATTAATTTTAAGCCGATATTAAGTAATATCTTATTATTTTAACAAGTTTTATTGTCTTATTTCTTTCTTTTTTATGCTACGTAAAGCAATTGCTTGCCAACCTGGAATATATCATAGATGGTAAATTAGAGTGGATATCATATATAGTAGATTAGGGTGAATATCATAGATGGCAAATTGGTGTGATATCATAGAAAATTAGGCTATGATATCATATATGGTAAATTGGGACGGATATCAAAGATGTAAACTTAGGGTGTACGAAGAGGATTTAAAAAGTTTAATTTTTAATGTACAGTGTAACCCGGACATAAGAGAGTTGTCGGGACCGGAGAAGTCGTCTCTTATATCCGGGTTTCTCTTATATCTGGGTTTGGTCTATTTTGTTTAGGTAAGTATGGGAACACTTTGGGACCAAAGAAAATCTCTCTTATATCTGGGTTTCTCTTATATCCGGGTCTCTTATATCCGGGTTACAGTGTACATAAATGTAGGTAGAAAAAGTTTGTGAGGAAAGAAACGAAGCTTAACACACTGTTATATACGGTACCTATGAACACTAATGGGTATGTCACAATCATCATAAATACGATGGACACTATTTTAAGTGGGGGTAAATTGATCTCTAAGTAGTCCACCACAGGCAGTGGTTTACCTATTTCACGCCGCTGGCGAGTATTAAATTTTGTTGATGTTATAAATATTACCATTTTATTTCCAACCTCCGTCTTTGTTATTCCTGATTCAGTAAACTTTTCTAGGTTACAAAATAGACCTTCAACGTCAATTTGTCAGGAAAAAATCGATAATCTCCAAGAACTAACTGAGAGTGACGGATGATTAACAGTAAAGCTAATTGCTGATTCCCTATTAATCTCAGCTGCTTTGGCCCATACGATATTATCTGAAAAATGACCATTGAACAAACTTTCAGCTCTTTAGGTACCAAAGCTCAGCAACAGGCAATAGTAGAGGTTTCAAGTAGGATCAAAATCCTGAAGGCTTTCTCGGGTGAATAATAATTGGAGATGAAAGTTGACTTTGCAAGTACGATCATATAGACAAAACTCAATGAAATCAATGATTGCCCAAAGGTAATAAGTGGCTAGTCAAAGCAAAACGATAAGAAAAATTATGATGGCAGTTTTCATTTGAATTTTTTTGCTGATCACGAAACTATTTTGAGAAAGTGAGAGAAAAAATTTTGCACCCCACCCACCAAAAAAAAAAAAAAAATGGCGTGGAAAGCTTCATCATTAAATCCTTTTCCACTACAATGTCTATTCCCATTCATTTCATCAGACATGGGGAACATATTCAGTACCTTTTCCGTATTTCTTAAGTTTAAAAACGTTTTCAAAGGTACCCATTTTGAGATTATTAATAGCGTAAAACAGGCTGCTTTGACGTGTTTAAATTCTCAGAAATCTCAATTCTTTCGGGATGCTATTAATAGTTGGAATTATCGCTTACAGGAGTCTCTTGGAGTTGATGTAGCTTGTGTAGAGTAATAAAAATTATACTTAAAATATTTGCGTTTAATTCCATTTTTACACGGATCTTTTGAAAGCTCCTCAACGTAAACATATGATGCATGGCGGCCTAAGAAAAGTTTTTAACCAGGAGAAATAAACTAGATTCAAATTCAAAAGTTAATTACATTATCCCTACTCAACATAAATAAACAGTATTTAGAACTAGTATGGAGTAGGTCCTCTATTTGCTAGTTTCAGTGCTTGTATTCGATTTTTCATGGATTTCATAAAGTTATCAACAATCATCTGATCCATATTTTGACACTCCTTTAGCAATGTTTCTTTAAATGGTTTCCACTGACGTGATTTTGGTTGCACGCTCTCAAAGTTTTCGGTCAAGGTGCTCCCAAACATGCTCTATTGGATTCATGTCAGGACTTTAGGCTACCCATAGCAGTGACATTATTCCTTGCGATTCCTTCCAGGCTTTTGCTACTTTACTCGCATGACATGGCGCTCCATCTTCTTGATAAAGGCAGACATTCTTGTCAATCTGATTGGTTTCAAATAGTGGGAGTAGTGCTTTCTCTAATATTTGACAGTATTTTGGACTATTAAACAAGAATCAGCTCAGATTTCCATCCAAACCAGACAGCGCCCCACACCATTACTCCAATCGCTCCATGTTTCACTGTTGCCTGTAGACAATCAGTGTTCCAAGTCTCATTCTGATTTCTCTATAAACCTGTCCCGAATCCGAATACTGGCAGAATTGACTTTCATCTGTTCAAATGAAAGACTGTCAAAATTCATAATCTTTGCTCTAGAATTCTCTCGCTCAGTCCATACGCTTGTTCCTGTTAACCTCTGAAATCAAAGTCTTCTTTCTTGCAACTCTTCTTTGATAGCCTCGTTCTTTCAGAATGTTTCTCACCGCATATGGCGACATTTCCATGCTTTTGGCGACATCTTTGACGCTCTGACGATGTTTTCTGATGACTTCCTTCTTCAGTGTCCTTTTCCTTCGCTCAGACACGATGCTTGGTCTTCCTGAATGTTGTTTCACACGACAATGGCCTTCTTCATAAAAATTTCTTGACAATATTATAAACCGTTTGATGATTAACCTGGAAAAACCTAGCAATTTCTCTATTTGACGTGACACACTGATGCCATCCTATTATTTGCCATCGTTGAAATTCACCAATTTTCTTACTTCCGCGAACTTTCATTGCAAAATATAAGTCAACCATCGTTCATAGCTTGAGTAGCTTGATACTAACAAGGTATTGTCTGAAAAAAAAAAAAATGAAAATACGTTATTACACAAGCCAAAATTAAGGTTGGCTAAAATCTTATCATAGCCCACTGTATGTGAGATATGTAAACATAGGGTGCATATCCTATATGCAAACTTATAGTGTATTTAAAATATAAAGTATAACAGTAAAGAACGTTATACACACAAGACGTTTTTTTTTTCTTTTATATTACGATACGTTCGGGAATAAAGTCGCCATACGCAGTAGTAAAGTTTATATTTTTCAAAATTTCCTTGAAACATGAAAACATTTACATTTAAAACGATCATATGCAATGAAATGTTTACTTAATGGAAGACTTTAACAGAAAAATGAATAAAATTTGATACGTTATTTATTTGAATCATGACAAATACAAATAATGAGATACAATACCAATAAACAAAACAAAATTGCACATAACTAACAGGATTTTTCTCTTCTTTTCAGCAACAAGTTAACGCAACCTTTGAATGCAGATTATTCTCCTGGGAAAAAGCATGTGTGTATCAAATTGGAATAGAAATCCAATCATTAGTCTTGCTTGTTATACAGTCCGGGTGTACCAGCGTGTGCTCATGCGCACTAACACACAAGTCTTCTTTATTCTAATAATTATGATTATGACATACTCTTTGGAAAGGAATGAATCAATCTTTTCTTTCTCTGTGTTTGTGTATGTACTATAATAACTATTAACTACATTTTGTTGATATATATATATATATATATATATATATATATATATATATATATATATATATATATTATAAAAGAAAAGAACAGTAAGATATATAATTCGGTGTTCTTATTGATATTTTTATTTTTACAAAACAATGCTCAATGTAAATTTACAGATCATAAATACTATAAATCAACTGATTTAAAAATATGATTCCATCGCCACACAAACATTTACCATGTTTCAAAAAACAGAAACTAACGACTTCAAATTCAATTATATATATATATATATATATATATATATATATATATATATATATATATATATATATATATGTATATTATGTTGAAATTATAGAAGCTGTGAAAATTAGATTTTGTTAATGATAATGGTAATATTAGCCGTTTCCTTATAAGGAAATATTTGGTATTAATTGACAGAGCAGCTACTGCTACAGTCGTATAAAATTTCTAAAATCTTTCACTTAAAACATTTTTTCAGGAAAATAGGTTTCTCATGTCCAGTATCTGTTATTGCTCTTTCCAGTATTGATGACGGTTTCCTTGCTCATCTTTTGGTTGAAGTAGTGTGGAACATCAACATCTTAATTATGTCATTATTTTCTCTTCAAGTTATATGTGCTATCCATTTTTAGTTGTTGCTGCTGCTGAAAGTCCTCAAGTTGATAAGCCGTAAAAACGAATCAATCAGTCAAAAACAATCAATCAAATTTTGTAGATATAATAATAAGGAAGGAAGCTTTGGAAACTCTAAAAGTTACAGCGCACATCGAAAGTGAAAATGAGAGAGAAAGAGAGAGAGAGAGAGAGAGAGAGAGAGAAAGAAAGAAAGAAAGAAAGAAAGTGATGCAGAGAGATTAAACATCCCAAAATACCGTTCATTTTAGGACATTAGAGAATGATCTTTTCGATGTTGTTATTGATTGATTGATGAATTGTTTCTTACGGCTTATCACCCCTTTGCAGGTTATTTAAAGCCAGAAAATATTTTTATTGTAAGATTTTTTTTTAAATAATAAGGATTTAGTGATATAAGGCTTAATAATTAACCTATAGCTGGAGGAGAAAAGGTGGACTCATACCTTTGTCAAGGGTATTTGTGAGTCATTGAAAACAACGAACTCGACGGGAATTGGAACTCGAGTTTTTTTCTAATTAATTCATTCATTCAAACGGCTTGTCAACCCTTTGCAGTTTTTTTTAAAGCCAGAAAAAGTTTTTAGAGTGTAATTTTTTTTGTGATAATAGTTATTTAGTGATATAAATCTTACTAATTAACCCATAGCTGAGGGACGATGCAGATTTGTACCTTCCCCACTGGTATTTGAGCGTAAGTGAATATAACGAACCCAACTGAAATTGGAACTCGGTTCACCGATTAACAATTCCGAACCATTAACACCACCCGCACATCCAAACTTGCAGCACTTGGTACTCTCAAGAGGTCAACCACCTAGATATTGACTAGGCTTGACGTTGTTTAAGTTCCGTGATCGTAGGGGAACCAGTGTTTAACCGTAATGTGGCCGTACGCCTCACTTGCTGTTAGAATTCACAATGAGTTTTGCGTCTGTCATGTTCTGCAGAGTGGGTGAACTGATTTCCAAGCGAAATAGCGGAGTAAAATCTTCCTTACAAGTGTACCAAATGTTTTCTTCGCCCCAGCCACCAAATGGTATAAATGCGAACTCCTGGGGAAACAAACGAGGGAAACGGACGGAATTTATGAAACAGGAGCAGCCATGATTAATACCCGTCTATGTTACTTCATACTAATTCCGTTTGAAAGAATTGAACCTTAAATATCCAGATTTATGTCCCATGGTTATTCACCTCATTTGGCGACATTGAAAAAAAAAAAAAGCTGGCGAAAAAAACACAGACATTATGATTCATATAATACCAAATCCACTATGACATTTATTTCGGTCGAGCTGTAAATATGTGTTTTTTTTTTTTTTTAAATACTACAAAATGATAGAAAACCAAATTATAAATGTTAAAAAATTTAAATCAAATTTTAGCGAGATTAAAAAAAAATGCTTAGACAATTGGAAGTCGGACAACACAATATCTACATCCAGAAAAAAACAACTATAATTTTACAATGATGTTCACCCTATATAAGGCCCAAGAGCCACTCGCGATAGAGTGTTACAAAGTAAGAGGCACCGCTCCAAGTGAGGAGATAAAGCCAACAAGATGCAAGGGGCCACTGGAAGTGAAAGAGATGAAAAATACAGTTCTAAACAGGAAAAATGAATAAACCTTTCCTCCTGTTCAAAAGATCGAGGAGAACTCTGAACCGGACAATAGGCGAATCTATCTACTCCTATTTAGGGAAAAGATGTAAAGAAATAAATAACGAACCAGAAATCCAATACTAAACAGCAAATAAAGGATAAACTTTTACTCCTGTTCAAGGTCGTTCTCAACGGATTCTCCTCCAGTTCCTATCCCACGAACGCAGGTGTTCCTCAAGGCTCCATCCTAGGCCCCACTCTATTCCTTATCTACATAAATGACCTTCCTGACACCATAAATTCACAAGTTGGCATCTACGCGGATGACAACACAATTTATTCCTGCCTCAAAAAAAAAATCTAGTGTCACGGACAAAACTAACCTGGCCGTGCGTCTCGAAAAGGACCTCCAATCGGTTGTGAACTGGGGCAGGAATTGGCTGGTCAACTTTAATGCCTCAAAAACAAAACTGCTCTCTATTAATCACCACAGAGATCCTTCCCTGCCCTCCACTAGAATGTCTGACGCTCAACTTCTCGAGAGCACCTCTCTGCGGCTGCTTGGTCTCACGTTGACGGCTGACCTGAGATGGAACAAATACATTGAGTCAATTGCTTCGTCCACCGCAAGGAAAGTTGGCTCCCTGTGCAGCGCCAGGAAATTTTTCTCCCCGGAATCGATCCTCCAGATCTACAAATCAACAATTCGTCCTTGCATGGAGTATTGCTGCCATATATGGTCTGGAGCCCCTTCTGTTTGCCTCGAGATTCTTGATAGGCTCCAGAGGCGGATATGCAATATAATTGGCCCTGCTCTGGCATCTCGTCTACAGTCACTCTCCCACAGACGCGCCGTCACCTCTCTCTGTCTGTTTTACAAATACTTTCATGGCAATTACTCCGAGGAGCTGCATTCACTGGTTCCCAGACTTCATGAGTTCAAGCGCCCTACGAGGCTGGCATCCCGCTCTCACCCTTTCACTGTCGAAACTCCTAAATGTAGCCGTCTCTTCTACTCCAATAACTTCACGTCTCGCACCTCTCGCCTTTGGAACTCCCTTCCCTATTCCAGTTTCCCTGAGAGCTAAAATCTCCAACTATTCAAATGTAATATCAATCAACATCTCCTGTTGCCTTGATCTATCCACTACCCTTCTCCTCATCCTTTCTCCTATCACTCCTATCTGATCTTGCTCCAAAATTTCTATAACCCCTTGCGTCCTAGTGGCTTCTCGCCTTGCTTGGGGTGAAACGCTTAAAAAAAAAAGGATGGGAAGCTGTATGGATCGGGCAATAGGTAGACTCATCTACTCCTGTTTTAAAAAAATGAACAGAGGTTTGAAGATTGCAGCTGATAAATAGCAAGAATTCAGAAGGGATTTCTACAATTAGTTAAATTTTATGGATTTTTTTTTTATAAAAGTCACAACCTTATTTTAACATTTCTGTTAAATAAGCTTGAATAATTTTACATGGAAATGTTCTTATTAATTAATTTTCAAGTCCAGAATAACTTTTATCATGCTTTAAGTATTGTGTCCTATGCATTCATTTTCAATATAAATAATACAGTTTGTTCCAAAAATCTTGGGAACATTTCAAGTCCTCATATCTACTGAACTATGAATGGTACTAAGATGAAACTGGTACCATTTTAAAGCTAATTTTATTACGTTTTTTTTTTTTGTAATGCCAATGATTTTTTCATATTTTTTCAGTAATGGCGTTCACTCAACCAGAAACGGCGTTTTGCGTCCTTGAATTTGCAAAAACTGAATCATGGAAATTGTTCAACGTGCATTTCTCACAAAATTCTGAAAAGAGGCACCAGAAAGGAATTTCATATTGAGATGGCATGGTAAATTCATGAAGAATGGGTGTTTTTGTCCAGCTAAGAGAATGGGACGTCCCTCAACTTCAGATGATACGGTTGAGCGAATTCGAGCGGAGCCCCCGTTAATCGATCAGAAGAGCCAGTAAAGAACTTCACCTTCCTACAACAACTGTTTGGCATGTCTTAAAGAGACGACTGCACGTGACACCTTACAAGTTGCACTTAACCCAACAGTTGCAGGACACTAATAAACCAACTCGTCTTGACTTTTGCATTGCAATGCAAAATAAGTTGGGAGATGATAGATTTGATGTGTGCCGTGTGACCAACGGTTCTAACATTGAACATTTTTGAACATTCCATGTAAAACTTGAGATTAATTTCTTTCAGAATATGTCAGAAGCGTTTTTATATCCTTAATAGTTTTCGAGATATTCAATGTCAAAATGTTCCCAAGACTTTTGGAACACCCTGTATCATTCTAATCAAGTTTTTAAAATCTTTATCAAAATATTTAAATTTAAAAGCGACTGCTTACACACACACAATATATATATATATATATATATATATATATATATATATATATATAGCGTTATCCACAGACATACTGTTTCGCTGTATCACAGCTCATCAGTATCGCTTCAATCCGGGAGCGAAACCCGACCAATTTGGCATCAGTCGGAGATTCTAAACCCTAGGCTATCGACGCCCGGCAGAGAGAAATTTATACGTATTTACTTTTTCATAAACACTCTAGTGACCTAGAGAACTGAATCCGACTTGGAGTAATAGTGACTGTTTACAAATTCGCTTTTATCCTCACAGTGTTCGACCGAATTAATTATTTTTTTCGGTAGCTAATATCGTCATTCACAGACAGTGTAGATAGGCATTCGATCGCTTCAAGCCGGAGATTCTAACCCCGAGGCTATCGACGTGTGGCAAAGAGAAAGGCGAATTTTTACGTGTTTATTTTTTCATAAATACGCAGTGACGTAGAGAACTCAATCCAGATTTGATTTAAAAGAACCAAGGTCAGTTTGTTTAAATTTATTTTTTAGATTTTTCAATTTTCGTATAAGGCGTTGAGTATTGTGCTCGAAGTTGTGTATAAAGCTAGACGTATGAAATGGTCTAGCGTGACGTCATATGTAACGGCTATTCAAAACGAGGCTGCACAAAAGAATGAGATTTATTTATTTATTTTTATTTTATTTTTTTTATTTTTAATACTAATATAAAATGTGCGCACATTAATTGCATCATATGCACTTCAAGATAGCATCTCTGGTGGGGAATGATATTTTATCTAATGTGGGCTGTTTGTTTTGTATAACAATAGCTCTTTGAGACTTTCCTCGCATTGTGTACTGTAAAGTATTTTGGTGTTATCTACTAATATTTGTCATATGTTGATAGTTACATTTTGGTTGATCATGTTGTCACAGTTTGCACTGCCTTTCGACAGGTGGCAGGTCAGTCAGACGAGAGAGTGTGAAGCATGCATGCCTAATGCAAGTCCAGTTTTCCTCTCTACTGTTCCCTCTTTATTAAACTTATTCACCGTTCTCTTGATGGTTTTTTGAATAGACTTTCAAGATGGAAGTCAGAGTATGAATGTTGGTACCATTACTGAAGGCTAGAATGAACTTTTTCCGCTCATCATTGCTCAGTTGGGAAGACAATAGGTCTGACACAAAACGATTTTAACCTGTTCTCTTTCTAGCTGACAAATGGTGTTAAGATGGCTAAAAGGCCATATCTGAAAACCTGGAAAAAAGAGAAAGAAACTCAGTTTAGTG